GCAAGGGGGAGGGGGAAAAGAAGAAATAAAAGGTCAGTTTGAAGATAAACACAAGACTGCTACAGGTGATTCCTTTCTGAAGGGAAAAAAAAAGCCCCAGAAAATTCTACCAATTCATATAACATAATTTTAGTCTTTATGCTTACCCTGGGCTATGTGGGTAAAGTATTAGATTGGAAATAAGTCTTAGTTTCAAATTTCACCACACATTTACTAGTTGTGTGATTCTAGACAAGCTACTTCCTTTCTCTGGGAATCAGTTTCCTCATCTGGTGAAGCCTATGGATCTTTTCCTAGAATTGTTGTCGTTGTTTAGTCATTTTTTTCAGTCATGTCCCTATTTGGGGTTTTCTTGGCAAAGATACTGGAGTGGTTTGCAATTTCCTCCTCCAACTCATTTTATAGATGAGGAAACTGAGGCAAAAAGGGTTAAGTGACTTGCCCAAGGTCATACAGCCAGTAAGTGTCTGAGGCCAGATTTAAACTCAGGAAGATGAGTTCCTGACTCCAGGCCCAGCAATCTAACTACTGCATCACCCAGCTGTCCCACTTCTTAGAATGTGCTATTTAAATGCATCAAATGTACATTCCAAAAAAAAAAAAAACAACAACAATTATATTGATGTATGGTGATCAAAATCTTTTTAAAAAAAATCCCCAGGTGTAAGAATTCCTTAGGGTAAACAGACTACAAGTGAGGGCCAATTTTACACATAATTCCAATAAACTTGTTTATCTGGCTCCCAAGGGCAGTGGAGATAAAAATAGGAAAACCAACGTCAACAAGTAGGCAACCTGAAGACAAGTGGAATTAATAGTAACTGCTAACTTTGTCTATTACTTTAAGGTTTGCAAAGTGCTTTATGAACATTATCTCCTTCAGGCTTTATAATATACCTGTGCTATTATTAAGAGGAGGGAGGGCAATCTCCGAGCCGCTGAGAAGGAGGTCCCCAGTTCCATTCTAAATAGGTGGGTGGTGCTGCCACAGATAAACAGCTTGAGGTAGGATTGGAACTTAGATCTTCCTGATGCCCAGTCCAGCATTATCCATTATACCATCCTACCTCTTGAAAGGAGACAGAAAAAACAATAATAGATATAAAAACTCAAAAAGCAAGACAATTTGTAGCCATTTAGTGTAGGGGCAAGAAGACCTAAATACTTAAATAGACTTTGAAGGTTTCCACTGTAATTTAGCAGACCAAAGTAACTATAGTGCCCTCTATTAAAAGAAGGTGGGAGACCTATGTCAGAAAAGCAATGAAATCAATCACATCCTAGTGCCACTCCTGGGGATATACTCTAAAGGTATAAACACATAAAAGGTCACTATATGCCAAATGTTCATAGCAACATTTTTTATGGTAGCTAAAAACTGGAAACAAAGTGAGTGTCCACTGATTAGGGAACAGATGAACAAACTGTAACACACCAATGAAATGGAATGATTGTGCAAGATATGAGGAATTCGGAAAAACATGGGAAGATTTACATGAACTGGTGCCCAGTGAATTAATTAATTAAAACCAAAAGAATTTATATGACCGCAATAATGTAAATGGAAAGAACACTAAGAGGAAGCTGACTAATCTTGGCTCAGAATAGAAAATCAAACGTACTTCTATCCTTTTAGCAGTGACGGGAAGCCAGTGGCCAAATGTGACACAGCCAGGCAAGGTCACTATTGTCTTTTGGTTTTGCTCAATTTGTTTTCTTTGTTCAATTTCTGGGAGGGTGGAGATTGGAGCGGGGAGAAGTAGTGGACTATGATCTACACAGAAATCAATGGTATGAAGACAAAAGATGTCAACAAAATCTTTTTGAAGATCCTTTTTGAGAGTCAGGAGATCTGCTAACACCTGCAGATACTCTATAGACTCTTCTGGAACTGACTGATACATAGGCTAACTTAAATTTGATGCACTGTGGGAAGTAGGCAATGCTGCTTTACAAATTCTCACGGAAGCAGAACAAAGTCAGTTCAGTTTACGCAGGAGGCACTTCTGCATGATACTAATTATCAAGATTTTTTTCCCTCTCCTACTCCAAGGTCCAATGGGGTACAATGAATAAGTGTAAGATGCTACCCCGTAGTAGGGATATTATTTTTATTTTTTAAACAAACATCGTCTTCTCCGTCCCATTCATCACCCCTTTGAGAAAGCAAGGAAAACAAAACCCCTAACAAAAACAAAACTCATCAAACAAAAATTCATTTCAATCAGTACTGAGTCCATCACCTATCAGCAAGTGGGTAATCTGTTTCATCATGAGTCCTCTGGAACTGTAGTCAGTCATTGGGTTGATCAGAATTTCTGTATCTTTCAAAGCTGATTGTCTTTACAATATTGTCATTGTGTTTAAATTCTTCTTCTAGTTCTGCTCACTTTACTCTGCATCAGTTCATTCAAGTCTTTCCAGGTTTCTCTGAAACTATTCCCTTCATTTCTTATAGTACAATAGTATTCTATCACATTTATATACCATATTCTTCAGCCATTTCCTAATTGACGGGTACCCCTCTTCAGTTTTCAATTCTTTGCCCCTGAAAAGAGAGGTGCTAGCAATATTTCTGTACATGCAAATTTTTTTCCTCTTGCTCTTAGCACAGGGCCTGGGACATAGTGCTATATACATGTTATCTATTATTATTAGACCTAGTAGTGATATCATAGTAGTAGGGATATCATTGGTAGGATCCCCAGGGTCATGTTCTTAGCATTTCTCCCTTTGTTGTTACATCATCTGGAGGTCACAGTAGCTCCAGGATATCCTCAGGCACATTCAGTCATTATACTTTGTTTAAATATTTGTTGAACTCCCTTAATATATTAGGCATTGATCTTACCTCTCCTTGGAAACAAACAGTAGTAACTTCTAGTTGGAATCGAGCCAGTACATTAACTTTCATCTCTCATTTGCAGGAGGCAGATCAGCCCAGTGGTTGAGACTAAAACTATAAATCAGAGCAAAGGATCCAAGCTCTGGCTTGCTCTGTGCTTCTATTTCCTCATCTATATAAAACAGAACTAAAAGCTTGTTAAAATCAATGAGAGATTTTCTGTAAGGTGCTATCAAGCTGGTATTCTGGTCAAGAGCTGAGTATGGCAACAGGTTGGGAAGGCAGGATAGATGGAGTGGAGGATCAAGGGTGGAACAAGGCAAGATGGGAAAATTCCACTCCCAAGGCTACAAATCTGGTGATAGATTCTGCTGCTAGGCAAATACCTCTGAGGAGGTCAGTGACAAAAGAAAAGCTTCATATAAACCAAAATATTTACAGCAATGCTTTTTGTGCACTGAGAATGAAAAGGATGCCCATCTACTGAAGAATGGCTAAACAAAATGCAGTAAATGAAGATATTGGGACGTTAGCATGCTGTTTGAATATGATGAATACAAAGACTTACCTGTAAAGACAGGTGGAAAGTGAAGTAAGCAGAATCAGGAAAATGATATACAAAATAACTACAACATAAATGGAAATAACAGAGATAAATGTTGTGAAAATACAACCACACTTGTCCCCCAAAAAGAGAGGTGAAATCGCCTCCTCCTGCTTCTCTGCAGATGGGGAGGTCTACAGGTGTAAAACATTGCATTTAATGCAAGAGGCTTTTAATATACTCGCTAGTTTTGCTGAATCTATTTTCCCTTCTCTTTTAAAATTCTTTACCATAAGGAATAGCTCTTAGAGGAGGGATACAGTGGGATATGCAGGCCATGTTAAAAAAAAAAAATCAAAAAACACTCACTCCCATCCTAGAGTCCAGGCTTTGAGCTTTTACACTAAAGCATGACTTAATTCAAGTATTGCTAAACATCCAAGTGCTCGGGAGAGTAACCAAACATATGAGCCTTTTATAAAATACTCCCTGTTGAATCTTAGGTGGTTGCTTATTGCTAATGGTTTTGCTGAGAAGTGTGCAGAAGATAAATACACAGAAAGCAAGACTGGATCAGGAACTAGGAAATTCAAAGGTGTTGAGGTCACAGAAAGGCAGGGAATGAGGGTGGGGAAAGTCAAGAATCATGCAGAAAATATCAGTAATATGGAAACCTTGAATGCGAGAGAATTCCTTCAGATAGGAATCATTTTATAAAATGGAACAGGCACTTACCCCAGGGCACAGGAAAGTCAGAGACTGGGTTTGAAGATAAGCTAATTAAGTTTAAGAAAAATAAGTAAACTAATTGAAAATAGAGGAGCCAAGTTAATAAAAATTGAAGAGAGCTATGAACTCCTTAATCTAGAAGTATCCAGCCTTACTGTGAAGAGCTACTCTTTAATTTTCCCTGAGCCTAGAAATCACCTAAGCAAGAGTGGGAACTCAGGATGTATACTCTTTCCCACTGGAGTGAGGGCTGTGGTGGTGGTTGGGCTGTGTGGAAGTGGGAGGCTACTTGTATGGCTTTAAGATCTACTGTAAATCCCAATTTATTGGCTGGCATCTTCTACTCTAATCCTCTCAAGTAACAATAGCTAACTTAACTTATTTCTCTTCTCTACACTCTGACCATCTGTACGGTCACTGGAAAATCAAAGTTTTGTGGTCTACCTTCCAATACAAAGAGGTCAAGGGTGTGCTGTAATTTAGAGTGAACTAATAGTCTCTAGAGTTGTTTGCCTTCTGTCCTCTACCCTTTCATCACGAGTGGCCTAAAAATCACCAGGGCGTCCTGCACTTAGGTTCTAAGCTGAAAGCCCCTGTAGATGTTCTAATATGTTGATGAATTTGCATGCAGGTGCCCAAAGGTGATAAGGAATTTTATTATCTTGTGGAGTACACAGAACTTCTGTACACTTATACTGCTGAATACCACAGGACATGATGGATGCCTACAGTGGACCTTTGGGACATTTGTGATTTAATGTTCATTTGAATACAAATATTTGCAGACTCCAGTCATACCACTTATTAAGCCAAGAATGGCTTCCTGGTATGATTTAATCAGTTTACAAAAGGAAATATTCAAACAGAGCTGCTCACACAATAGCAAAGTTAAACAAATGATTTTAATGTACACATTTACACTTGTATTAATCCTACATCTACTTCCACCACGTATGCAAAGTAACTTCATCACAGAATGTTAGAGCTAGAAGGGACTGGATTATCTTGTCCAATTCACCCATTTTTACAAGTGGAGAAACAGATCTAGAGAGGATCTGGGGTCACATAGCTGGTAGGTGGGAAAGTTGAAACTCAAATCCAAGTATTCTGACTGAAGACTCAATACTGTTTCCACTAAATCATGTTACCTCTCATTTACATTCAAAAACTAAGTAGTCTTCCACAGGACATGACTAGGATGGACTGTGCTTGTTAATAAACAGCACAGGGCAGATTCCAAAACGGTTTTCTTGGCTCTAACATTCTCACAGCCCATGAAGCAGCTTACTGAAATCTTCATTCCAGTATCTTACTTGAGAAATGGCAACACACAAGACACTAAAAGGATCTTCCCAAGGGTGCTGTTCTTCCCATATTTAAATCATAACTCTTGGGCTATAGAGACTGAATAATAAATAGGTCTATTTTCTATCCAGAATGGGGAGGTTTAGTTAACAAATTCACAAACTCCACCCCCCACAACTTCCTAATAGTGTAACTTAAATCAACGGTGTTTTGAAACTTCAGAAAAATTTAATATTTGTGGGAACTACTAGTGTTTACTCCATTACAGAATTCTATCTTCTCTAGTTATCACTCCACAGAGACAATCTATATTTGTTGCAGCACAGAGGATATGAAGATGTTTATTTTCCCATTCAGATCAGACACAAGCCTCTTCACTTCCTTCCAAATGGATCAGACCACACTTTTAATCCTACGGGAAAAAATAATATGAAAATATTCAATAAGACAGGTTTCAGCTTCAAACCTCCAACCCCAAGTGAACAAAATGACATTCAAAATTCAGATGTGCAAGTCCACACAGTTTAAAACAGCCCAGGCACTCTGCTGGAATCCAGGAATCTGAGACAGCTAGAATGCTGTGCCAGCCTTGAGGGCTCACTTAAATGGCTTCACAATCTCCTCACAACAGGAAGAAAGCTATCTGGCCTAGTGAAAGAAGGAACTTTGCCACAAATTACTAAACTTTTATTTAATAAGCCATTCACAGACCTAGAAATCATTCAGTTTCAGACAATTCAAATTTCCTTAAAGTAGCTTACTCTTTAGCTATAAAGGTGGCCCTCTGCTTTTTGTACAAAGAATCTGATATCAATTAAAATAATCCACAAGTAAACAGTATTTTCCCATGGGGTTGGCATCTAAATAGGTGTTTGGTAAAACCTGTAAAACACCCACTCATATTTCATACTCAATTGCATATTTTACCTACCTAATTTGCTGTATTTTTAATGCCCATTTTAAATATTCAAAACAAGAATGAAGCAAACATGCAAAGATCTAGGTTTAAATACTCAAATTGCCCATCTTAAAGCTTTCCTTGGGAATTATGTAATGACAGTTATTAAGAAATAAATCCAGTATAATTAGTATATGGTCCATGAGACAACAAAAACGTCTTCACCAAATAGCAAGAATCTACCGCATCATTACTTGGCAAATTAAAAGTTTTATGAGTTTACCTGGTGGCTGCACATCTGCTTGGACAATACCAGCCCGATTTATGGCTTGTTCCAGCTCTGAGAAATACAAACCAAAATATGACTTTCAGTGAGAGAGGGGAGAAAAGCTGTGCTTTCAAGGGCCAAGGTCATGGGATAGTCCTGGATAACCAAATTAAGAAAACTACATAGAAAAGCTATTAAATTCAGGGGTGCCACTGAGCTATCATCATCTGTGGTTTTCAGGTAGTAGGAGTTGGATCCCTTAAAGCAAAACACAGAGCCTTTTCTACATCATTCAACCAAAAAGGGGAAAAAAATCCTTCAAAGGAGAGTTTTTCTAATGTCTTATTCTTCGTGCTCTCAGCATTTCTGAAAGGCAACAAAAACAAAAAGAGACTAATTTTGAAAGAACTTGTGGGCATGATATCAAAAGGAAAATGCTGCTGAAATGAAGGAACAAATACAATTAACAATACAATGCAACTTAAATATCTGCACTGCACTTCATGGAAGAACAAGAGAGGAAATATGCTATGTTTTTGATAGGAAATAGAGCAGAAAATTAATCTCTGGGTGGGCAGCTTTGGTTTGGGTAATTGAAGCTTCCCTAATTGATTGCAGGTGTTGTGCCAATTAGTAATAGCATTTAAGCTACAGAGGCTATGCCAGTCTCTCTGGAGCTGTCCTGAACGTGCAAAGGCCAAGAGAAATTGGGCATTTTCTGTCTGTAGGCTTCTAGCATTCTGACATCTTTCTAAGTGGTTTAGAATAAAACCAAGTCTTGTGAAAACAGAGACTTATTATTTTAAGAATCTTGCCAAACAAATGGTGGTATTTTGGGAGACAGACTTGTAGCCAAAGGACATTTACTAGAAAATTATAATAATTAAATTTTGTAATAAAACCTTTGTTTTAATCAGACTGACAGTGTTTCCTTGAATCTACATTTAGCTCTTATACTATTTAACGTTGGATCATTTTCTTTACTTGATTTTCTAGCTTCCTATAAAGATACAAAAGGCATGACCCAACCAAAAAGCAAGAATTTATACTGAAAGCTTATTGCTTTTACAACCCCTATCCCCCACCCCAAGGAATAACTGTCCACAATGAGTGATCCTACTTTACTTACTTTGTTGATAAAAGAACATTCAATTCTGTATTTACAAATAGAAAAATGAGGGTGGGATAGTGAGGGTCAGTTTCCTCTGGGAATAGCCACCCAATTCTAGGACATGAGACAATGATGATTCACTAAGAAAAAATGAAGTCACTGTATTACATTTAATTAAAAACTAACAGGTGGAGAAAATGGGAAGAGGAGCAGGGAGACAAAGGTTGTTAGGGAAAAGGTTTAGACTTATTCTGTCCTGTCCTAGGTCCAAATGTGTGTCTAAGAGTGATGTATTTCAGCTCAATGTAAGAAAGAACTTCCTTATAGTAAGAACTATCCCCAAAGGGGAATAAAATGCCTTGATAAGGTGTTTATAAGATCTTTCCAAAGATGGAGATCTTCAAGCAAAGATTAGATGACTATTTGTTTAGGGATACTACAGATTCAGTAGTGAGGCACGGGGCTGGCCTAAATGACCTCTAGGTCCCTCCAGTATGGATTCTGGATTCTTCCAGTGGGAACTATGAGAATTAAGTATGTTTGAATAATACTTCTTAAAGGCAGTAACTCTACCTAATTACAATGAATTATCAGGCATCCATTAATCTGTAGTTATCTGACCTGACTGCTATACAGAACAGCATCCTTTCCATCCACATTCTTGCAGAAACAAAGCCTTCTTTGTAAAAAACAGTTCTACAAGAAGGGTCACTTTGAAACAAGTCAAGAGAAAATAACAACGACCATAGTTCACATGATCTGGGACAAAAGCATGTATACTTTTCTCTGTAAAGAACCAAAGAACTTTTCTCTGATAACAAGAGAATGGTGGGAAAGACTGCCTATCAGTAAACAGAGGCAGAGATGCTATAACTGAACCAGCAGTCAGAAGGCCTAGGTTCAAGTCCTAGACCTGCTGCTTACTAACTGGGTAATCTTGGGTGAGCCATCTTAATGCTTTTAGGCTCAGCTTTTTCATCTGTCAAATGGGAACAATATTTGAAATGTCAACCTCACAAGGTTGTCATGAGAACCGCAGGATCTGGAGATTGAAGGGTCTTTAATGATCATATAGGACAACCTCTTATTTTACAGATGAGGAAATTAAGACACAGAGAGGTTAACTGAATGCTTAAAATCATACAAAATCTGGGCTTCTGATTCCGAATCCAGGGCTACTTCCACTACACCGCATTGCTACTCGCGCTGTAAACTGTAAAGCAGTATATCAATGCAAGCTGCTATTATTACTAAGGAGATGATTTTTATGGAAATCAGACGTCTTGGTAGCAGACACTCTTCTCTAAGGTACGATAAAGCAAGTGATAGAAAGCAAAAGAAACTTTCTTAAGGACAACTATTATCCCAATGAGCCTGTTCTGAGAAATACTGAAGGATGTTGGCGATGCTAGAATATTTAATTATTCCCTAACCTACCGTAATGCCATGGAGATATTACCAAGAAGGGAATCTTTGTCCTCACAGATTTTTACTAATTGTTAATGAGGTCTGAGAACAGCAAAGAATTTCTCTTAAACAGGGTGTAATCTCTTAATTCTTATTTTAATGCTGATTATCGTTGTGGCTTTGCTTGGGCTAGTAATTTAAATACTTTGCCAAACCAGTTTCTCCCAAGTGATAACTGAATATTAGTATCTTATCTACATCACAAGGTTCTTTAACCCATGAATGTTTTTGAAGTCTTAGTGCTTTTATATAAATTCACAATATTGAGCAAAAACCAAGCAAGAGAGAATACTATTACTTGGGAATGTGGAATGAGAAAAGAAAAGTGTAACACAATGTAAAGAGCACTGGATTCTTCCACTTACCAGTTGTGTAACCTTAGACAAGTCACCTAATCTCTCTGAGCCTCAGTTTTCTTATCTTTAAATTGGGGGTAATAGCACAACATTTCTTTGTCAGAGTAACTAAACTGATAGATCAGAAGAATGTTATAAACATAGGAAACCTAATTTAGGATAGCATATGATAAAGGCTCTCAAGCCATCCAGGTGAACAATACTGAAAGAAGTGGACAAGATGATTAAGTAAAACTCAGACTCAGAACCAATGAGAGGTCATTAATGGAATGAAATAGACTTCAAGAGATTTCTAGGTGAAAAAGGCGTCCTTGGACCTGGGCTATTTAGTACTTTCATCAATAATTTAGATTAATTCATAAATGGCATGCTGATCAAATCTGTAGATGACACAAAGCTGGGAGGCATAGCTAATGTACTAAATGAGAGAAGGATCCAAAAAAATACAACAGGCTAGATAGAACCTTAGGATAAATCTGAGAAGATGAAATTTAAGAAGGATAAAAGTAGAGTCTATGGGCAAAGTACCTGAATCCAAATAATTGAATTCAGAAAACTGTACAAATATAGGATGGGAGACAAAATCACGTGAAAAATATCTGTATAGGTTTAGTAGAATACAAATTCAATATAAATTTATAGTGTGGTACAGCATCCAAAATTAGCTAATGTAAATCTTAAACTATAATAATAAAAGCCATAATAGTGTCTGGAATGAAGGAAGTGATAGTCTCATTGTATCTTGCCATGGTCAGACCACATAAAGAATACTGTGCTCAGTTCTGGGCGCAATACTCTAGGAAAGACTTTGCCAAATTAAAAGGTGGTAGAAGGCAGAGGAGTCAGGATGGTGAGGATTGGAAAGAATACCATGAGGGTCAGCAGAATGAACTGGGTACTATTTACTTACAGTAAAGGGCAGGGGAGGTGGGGGGGGGTGGGAACCCAACAACATAATTGTGTTGAGAATGTTAAGGATTTAGCTTCTATGTAGAAGCTGCAGGGAAACTGATTTTAAGTGTGACTGCAAGCTTCTGCACTCTCTCTCATATATGTGTGTACACAGATAAACAGATACTGATATATGGGTATGCGTGTATATGTCTATCTATACATAGCTATAAAAAGCTAAGCTTCCTAGCAATTAGAACTATCCAAAAGTATAAGGAAGCATCTCAGGAGACAATGGAATCCCCTTCACTAGAGAGAGGTCTTTAAGTAGAAGCTGAATGACCACTCATCATAGATGTTGTAAAGGGAATTTCTGTGCAGGTATAGGTTGGACCATAAGCTTCCCTCCAACTGTGAGATTCCATGATTCTTTTTGCCCCATCTACACCAATTAAATTCAACAAACCTTTATTAAGTACCTACCATATGCAAGGCACTATGCTAGGAATTTAGAATAAAAAGACAAAAACACAACAGTCCCCATTCCAAGGAGGGATGAGATCCACAGTCAATACCTGAGGAGATCCCAACAGGCAGCACATGGGCATAAAGGAACATGAACAAGTACATTCTAGCATGGAGGTGGCCTATGGGGGTGCAGAGAAGCAGGAAATGTACTGTCAAGTTTTACAAGCAGCTAGTAGTCCAGTTTGGATGAAATGAAAGCACACAGGAAAGGGAACAGTATAAAATAAGGCTGAAATGAGAAGTAGGAACATAGTTAAGTTGAAGAGTTTGAATCTTATCCTAGAGGCAACAGGGAGCTACTGAAGATGTTTGGGCAGAGGGGTGACACAAACAAATAAGGATGAGGAAAAATTATTATGCTACCAGAAAAGCAGTCACTATCCCTCGCAATGAACTCTCCATAGGCTACAATTTTACTCTCACAGGAGACCTGACTAAGCATTTGGAACATGGACAAGGCAGGAAAAGAGACTAAGGACTTCAAAATGTGAACCGATTAGAACTATGTAAGCAGCAAAACGATTCAAAAGCAAATGTTAAATATTATTGGTTTGAAGGCCCTTACAACCAACACAACTCTGCCCCCTGGTGCACAGGCAGTGGTTGGCCTTGCAGATTTAATTGGAGAATTTAGTAACCAAAAGGTCAAAGAAGAAGAATGGGTGAAGACTGATGAGTCTCACTAATGTAGTTACAAGAACCCACTGCATGTTTTTAAA